GAGAGTTTGGGTAATGAATTTATGAACGGGGTATTTTTTTCGGCTCAAATTAAGTTACAATAATAGCGGAACCCCACTATTTACTACCATATGCCCATAGTATGCTAGATCCAATGAAGTTCCTTAACAGCAGCCCGGTTTCAGGGCTTGGCAAGTTTAGGGGCTATGTGTGCGGTTTCTGGTATCAAAATCAGGTTTCCAATTCGCAGCTGGTCCAAAACCCAACACGAATCAACGTTCAGGACGCGCGGTAAAAACCTGTGGTCGAAAACATGTGGCAGAAAATCCGGCTTCTTGCGGCCTTCCAAAACCCAACACCAAACCCTAAACGGTGAAAGCCAGATCGTTAAGCAGAACCTGCTTTGATGCAGGTTATTGTGGCTGTAGGTAAACCTGCAAACCCTGTGCAAGCCCTGACGAGCCCTTAGCCTCAGCCCTACACCCCCTAATATATACATACTGCAGTAGTTTCCATTTTCTTTTCCATTTTCCCTATATACTCCCTATATAACCCCTATAATCCCGAATCCCTAAACCATTGATCCTAACCCTCAGGCCGGGAGGATTGAGTCTGAAGAGCTTAATGACAAAGGAGAGATTCAGGTGGCTTTCTGCAAAGGCGACTTACTGGTGGTTAGTAGCAAATAATGAGGTTTAGGATTTAGGGTTTAGGGCTGAATGGAATATGACCCGCACATAGAATCCCTGTAGAACATATTCTCTATTCCCTACTAAGGCGACTGGTGGCTCAAACCCGCCGAACTTCGGAAGGACGATTTTCAACCTGGATGTTTCGAAGCTCGGCCCATTTTGCGGGTGGTGAGGGTTGGGTTTAGGAAAGTTGGTGTCCAGTGCTGTTGTTTGTTGGGGTGTGTGTTTTGTGGGGGCACTTGGCTTTCAGTTGAAAGGTATCGTGGCTTCATCAAGCTGATGATATCCCAGCGGGGCATGTGGGTGTCGCAACCGGCTTGAGCAGCCGGGGCAAGTTCTCAGTGCGATTCCCGGGTGGCACGTGGAGCTTCGATCGATCCTCGCTGGCCCTGCATACGATCCAGCCAGGTTGGCATTGTAAAGAGGGTTCAGGGTTTGGGGACGTTTAGGGCTTAGGGTATATTATAGTGTAGGGTTTATGGTTTAAGGCTTAGGGTTTAGAGTGTGTAGGGTTCAGGGTGTAGGGCTTATGATTTAGGGTCAGGTTTGCAACGAAAAGCCCCAAACCTCAGGACCTTCCCCAGTACGGTAATCAGTTGCAATCATCAAAGTCTCCCGAGCTAGTAGCCCCTCAATAACATCCCTTTATAGACACTTATTGTGAGAGGGAGCCTAAACTCTAAATCCTAAACCCTAAATCCTAAACGCTCAATGCTAGTTATTTGAGCCCAAAGGGCTTAGAATTTTTGGGGGTGTGACGGGGTTGAAGTGATGCACTCCTCTCAGCATCTTGCAGAAAGGGACCCCCTATGCAGTCCTGTACAGTAAACCCTCAACTAAATCCTAAATCCGAAACTTTTAATCCTCAGTCCTAAGCCCTATATGACCAAAGCAAACAAGGTTTTTTGAGCCCTAACAGCTGAACCTACTTCTGCACAGCCAGGGGACTTCATTGCGCTTGGGGATGGGCAGCTGGGAGAAGTGCTTCGAGTGGTCAGGGAAAACCAGTGCCTGACTGGTGATTTAGGAGGAGTGGGAGAGTGAACATAGGGATCCTTATAGGTGTATCTCTAAACCCTAAATTTCGAAACCCTATATATGGGGATTCCATAGGGATTATTACAAGTAAGGTTCCTGGT